AAACTATTAAGAAAAGGGTCAGTCAAAGAAAATCCCTTTTCCCAAATCCATCAAGCAAGATCATTATCCCAAAACTATTAAGAAAAGGGTCAGTCAAAGAAAATCCCTTTTCCCAAATCCATCAAGCAAGATCATTATCCCAAAACTATTAAGAAAAGGGTCAGTCAAAGAAAATCCCTTTTCCCAAATCCATCAAGCAAGATCATTATCCCAAAACTATTAAGAAAAGGGTCAGTCAAAGAAAATCCCTTTTCCCAAATCCATCAAGCAAGATCATTATCCCAAAACTATTAAGAAAAGGGTCAGTCAAAGAAAATCCCTTTTCCCAAATCCATCAAGCAAGATCATTATCCCAAAACTATTAAGAAAAGGGTCAGTCAAAGAAAATCCCTTTTCCCAAATCCATCAAGCAAGATCATTATCCCAAAACTATTAAGAAAAGGGTCAGTCAAAGAAAATCCCTTTTCCCAAATCCATCAAGCAAGATCATTATCCCAAAACTATTAAGAAAAGGGTCAGTCAAAGAAAATCCCTTTTCCCAAATCCATCAAGCAAGATCATTATCCCAAAACTATTAAGAAAAGGGTCAGTCAAAGAAAATCCCTTTTCCCAAATCCATCAAGCAAGATCATTATCCCAAAACTATTAAGAAAAGGGTCAGTCAAAGAAAATCCCTTTTCCCAAATCCATCAAGCAAGATCATTATCCCAAAACTATTAAGAAAAGGGTCAGTCAAAGAAAATCCCTTTTCCCAAATCCATCAAGCAAGATCATTATCCCAAAACTATTAAGAAAAGGGTCAGTCAAAGAAAATCCCTTTTCCCAAATCCATCAAGCAAGATCATTATCCCAAAACTATTAAGAAAAGGGTCAGTCAAAGAAAATCCCTTTTCCCAAATCCATCTTGTGGAACAGCGCTTCTCGGCACACAGAGCTAAGATCGCTATGTACGCCAGTTTCATTCGTTCAGAACGACATAGTTACGTGCCTGTATGCGAGATTAGCCGAAAAATTTCATAACACATCAAGGAAATTGAGGAACAACGCTTCTCGCTTGTTTATTTTGCAATGCTATTGTAAATATTAGACCACTGTCGTTAGAATCCAGGGTAAATGTCTTTGTTCTGAAAAATATTTATATTCCTGAACACGTTTATTGTTGTGACCAACATTTGGATGATTGCGGATTTATTTTACAGTTACTGCTGCCAGGTTTGCGATTTATTTATAGACCATATGTAATAAAAGGTCAGCAACTGCAAGTTTTCTTAGAAGCTCTTCGTAATATAGCAAATAATAATAATCGTTATGAAAACGAAAATAGTTTTACAGAGGATGAATTTAAATGTATAGCACCCATTACAAAACAACAGTTTCAAGAATTGTATACATATTGCGATCCTATATTCCAAGAACGTGGTATCAGAAACGTTACTAAAAAAGATCTTTTAATTTTTTTATGCAAGCTGCGACAAGGACTGTCTGACGAATTTCTTAAAGTACTGTTTCAGTATTCCTCTAGACAAGCAGTGAGTTTAGCGATTTCCAAAGTTCGGCAGTCTTTAGTAAACAGATTTGTCCCTGATAATATTGGTTTTCAAGCTATAACTCGAGACGAGTATATAATGAGACATGTAACAGCTTTTGAAAACGAATTATATAATTCTGAGCTAGCTATTCCGAAAGTAATTGCTTATATTGACGGGACTTATTCTTATACTCATAAAAGTAGCAACTTTCGTGTTTTACGACAAACATACTCAATGCAAAAAGGTCGACATCTGATAAAACCTTCTCTTATAGTTGCTCCAGATGGGTATATACTGGCTATTCAGGGTCCTTACTTTTCTGATTCTCATAACAATAATGCTCGAATATTAAATAATGAATTTCAACGTGATGCGGACAATATGAGAGGATGGTTTCATGATGGTGACATTTTTATATTAGATCGTGGATATCGAGATGCTCAGCCATTACTTCATTACTTCGGCATTGAGTATAAAATGCCAGCATTTCTTGGACCTCAACAGAAACAATTATTCACTGAAGAAGATAATGAGTCTCGATTGGTGACAAAAACAAGGTGGATAATTGAAACTAGAAATGGACATATCAAGTCTACGTTCAAGTTTTTTGATCATACAATTATAATGCCTCATCTTCATCACTTGGGCGAGTTTTATAACATTGCAGGTGCTACAATTAATAGATATCATCCTTTAGTTTTAATGGAAGAAGCTAATGCAGGATTAGCAAGAGAACTTCTTGATAAATCTAGAGGAGATAATATTGTTCAAGCGCGAGTTGAAGTAGAAAGGATGTGCTATAGAAATGCACAATGGATACATTTACATGAAGGACAATTACGTGACTTTCCACGCCTAACATTAGAATATTTACGAGATTTGACTATTGGTACATTTCAGGTTCGTCTAGCAAGATCTTATATTCAAGATAAGATGCACAAGAAGAATTTCAATTGGATTCGTTGTTTGATGAACAAGGTTTCATAAGGGTGCGAGTGTTTTCACGATTCCGTAATGCTACAAAACATCAAATATTTATAGCTTACAACATAAGAGATGCAGATAATATAGATGATGAGAGGGAGGCGATTTTTGGTTATTACTGCACCTGTAAGTCAGGCGCACGGACTGTGGGTACATGTGCACATGTAACCAGCGTATTGTGGTATTAAGGATATGCACGACACCAGCCCAATGTTCGTTATCCCTCTTCATCATTATTGAACACAATATTAGATGCCGCTCAGAGACCACCACAGCAGGATCCAAATAATGAGTAATATACAATAAGATCATTTATTTTATTACCCCACACATACACACACACACACACACACATACACACACAGCAGAGAGGGTTTGGAGTCAAAAAATACTACGGGAGTGACGAACCGTGGGGTCCTTATCTCTGCTGTGACACATAAAGATTTTTGTTCACGGAGCTTTTCAAGGTCATTCAAAATTCACAAATAATGTCACCAACTAACAGATTTTGTAAAACCCTACTATGTTTGTTTCAAACATTTTTCAAAAAAATCAATACCTTCCGAGATTTGACTATTCGGCAGCCCGAATTTTTCATGTTTGACTGGTTATAACTCGATAACTGTCCATTATTGAGCTTTGTGCCCATTACATCTTTTGTTCAGTAGGTCATAAGCTACAACATATGTAAAAACCAATTGATTTGACCGGGACAGATTTTCCATATAATTAGTGCGGGGTTCTTTAAAAGAATGTTATAATAAATGAAAGTAAGTGTAAAATAATTATGTTTCATAATTATTTAGAGGGGATTTTATAATCAAGTTTCTGGAAATTTAGTTTCTTTAATACAAATGTAAATAAACAAATTTTATTTGCTTATTATATTTAAATTATTTCCCGTAATTAATTTATATACATGGTGGCCCACGTAAAGTGTTACAAGCTAATAATTCTAAAAATATTTGTCAAATCAAAAAATTGTTCATGAGAAAGTTTCATGTTTTCGAGGGGCCTTTCTAACTACGTAAACATAAAATTGCCCCCGCTCCCCCTCTAAAGGGGGTGGGGGGAAACTT